ATATATATATATATATATATGACTTTAAAAATGGCTCTTATAGCTCTATTTCTAATTATCAACAGTTTCTTTTCACGCTTTTACCACTACAATGCGAGTGGTGTAGTGACAGGCTACAGCGATGAAAGGAGATATTTATATCAAATAAGAGTGAAGGAGAGTGAGATGTTCCACTGTCATAGATTGAGAGAGGAAGAAAGAAAGGGAGAGAGAGAGAAGAGAGAGAGAGAGAGAGAGAGAGCGCAAAAGAAAATAAAAAAAGAGAAATTGAAAACAAAGAGATTGAAAACGAAGAAAAAAAAAAAAGTAGACTTCTAAGTGAGAGTCAATTTGTAAAAAAAAAAAAGGGGGGGGGGAAAAGGTCTTCCTTGTGGAAGAAACTAGAAAAGTGCTGTTCGTTTCCATTTCTTTCTTTCCATTTTTTTCTTTTCTTTTCTTAATATCCTTGGGGCAGTACTTCAATGTGTACGCGCGTGCGTGTGTATGTGTGGTTTTTTTTTTTTTTTTTTTTTTTTGTTCTGTTTGTTTTTCTCTTGCCTTTTTTTTGTTGTTTTTTTTCTTCTCTTTTGTATGGCTGAGTTTTATCTCTTTGCAAATGATATCCGCGATGTACACACTGTAGTTGTATGAAGGGGGGAATGTCTCTGCATATGCACAGGGAGAGAAGAGTAGAGGCGTGAATGGCGGTAATAGAAGAAGAACAGTAATCTTGATGAATCCAAAAGGAAAAAGAAATACTGATAAGGAGAGAGCGAATGAAGTAGAGATGGGAGGGATTTGGGGTGTTTTTTGTTTTTTTTTCTTATTATTATTGTTATTACTATTGCTTCTTCTTTGTTTGCGCCCCTTTTGCTTGCTTTTATTGTGCAGTACAGGACGATATATATATATATATATATATATATAAGGGTATGATAAAAGAAAAAGAAAAAGGAAGAAGCAAAGGGCAAGAAGTCAATATAGAAATATTTAATAATAATAAACATAATCATAATCATAATCATGGTAATAATAATAATAATAATAATAATAATAATAATAATAATAATAATAATAATAATAATAAATGATAATAATAAGAAAGATAATAAGAGTAAACCAATTGCCTTGGGTAGAATAATGATCACACAGTTTACACCCCCTTCTCTCTTCCCCCTTCCCTCACTCCCCCTCTGGTTTGTTTCCCCATAGGTACGTTGTTTTTATCAGTATCTATGCGTAGAGAAAATAAATAAATAGAAAATACGAAAAATAGATAAATATATATACATATAGAGATATATAGAGTCTTTGTTTTGGTCTGTGTGTAATGGTAAAGGGTTAATATTTGTATTTTATTGCTAGGAATACATCCTTGTTGTTTTCTTTTCTCTTTTTCTTCTTTTTCTTTATTTATTTCCTCTTTTCACCAATAGCGGTTCGTCACTCAGTCAGTCAGTCATATATATATATAATCTACATACATAGATAGATAGATAGGGCAGAATAGCGGAGTGAACGAACACAAAAGCAAGAAAAGAAAATAAAGAAAAAGAAAAAACAATAGCGGCTGAGAAAGTATCCAGCTGGAGAACAAAAGAAAGACGAAAAGAAAAGAAACAAAGAAGAAGCACGAAAAACAAGGAAAAAAAAAGAGAAAATACGAGCGGTTAGTACAGTAAAACGAGCTGCATACTAGGAAAGTAAGAAAAAGAAAGAAGAAGAAGAAGAAGGAAATACTAACACAAAGAAGAAGAAGAAGTAAAAAGTAAAAGAAAAAAAAAAAGGAAAAAAGAAAAAAGACAGTCGTTACAAACTACCGCTACCGTATTTCTTCTTTTTCTTTTTTTTTTTCTTTGCTACCACTGTTATTGTAATTATTGTTATTATTGTTGCTATTATTTACTCACAGATTAAAGGAAACACCCAGGAAAAGGAAATACAGAAGAGGAAACGATAATATTATTATTATTATCATTACCACCCAGTGAGAAAGAAAGAAAAAGAAAAAGAGAAAAAAAAAAAAAAAAGAAAATAACAGAGCCGAAAAAATAAAAAAGAAAAAGAAAAGAAGAAAGAAGAAAGGAATATCAACAATGCTTCGTTTACTCCGACATTCCCTTCTTGGCCTCTCCTCCTCTGCTGTATTGTGTGGTCGACACCACCAGAGTGGAATGCACTCGCAGTCCACAGCAGCGGCGGCGGCGGCGGGAAACATGCGGGAGCAGCAGGCGGCGGCGGCGGAGGCGGTCTCCGCGGAGAAGGTGTGGGCCCTCTGGAATGAGGGCAATCTCTTCTCCCTCTCACTCGCGCAGCTGCAGGGATTTCTCGCCCGCGCCGGCGTGAGAACAGAACCATCGGCAAAGAAAGCGGCCGTTGTGCGGCAGGTGGAGGAGTATCTGCACTCCAAAGATATCGCCGTGAAGAATGGAGGTCAATCCACACAAAACCAACAACAACAACATCAAGGAGGAGGAGGAGGAGGGTATGGACGCTGGAATCAATCTACAGTTATGCAGCCAGAGACACTCTTGGATCTCGCCCAAGCGGGTTTTTATGAAGGATCTGCGAATATGGCACCAAAGGCATTTCAATTACTTGTTAGCAATACAGCTGCAGATGTTGTGGTATCTCGTGTGAACACCACTGCTTTTCCAGGTTTTCCTGCTAATACGGAATGTTACACTTTAAGTGCATCTGAAAAAGATGTTGCTATCCGTTCCAGGTATAGTAAAGTACTTCAATGGTGTTGTTTAAATATGAGTAATCTACAAATGGATGGAGAACTTTTTGTAGATTTTGGAAAATTATTATTGCAACCATCAGTTATGCGAAAGAATCGTCGTATCGTTTCATCCTTTACACTTCAGCAACGAATGCAGGTGAGTCATCCCTATACATGGGTCTCTGCATTACCAGAATCTTCTGTTCATACTATTCAAGAAGAATTATTAAAACCAGAGGGATTTATGCCTCTTGGAAAAGGTGGACAAATTACATACAGTGGAACTATAAAACGTGCAAAAGATCAAGTAAACCTTGAATTTGATAATAAAGGTAAAGTTCTCTCTGTCAATAGCGCTTGGGTTAATGTACAAACCGCATGGTGTACACGTGCAAGAGGCCCGGATGTTCGTTTGCTACTCCGCTCACGGCCCCCCATTCGACGACAAGAAGTTGAGATGTATGCATCTATGCCTATTATTCAACTTTCTGAGGATGATGTGGCGGATGTGTTGCCGGCTGAACATGGACAACTGGTGTATCTCTCAGAAGATGAAACACGTCTCTTTGAGAAAGTCACAGAGAAGGGTGTAAAGTTTACAGTGAAGGAAGTGAAGCGACAACCACTCATTGTACTTCGCGATGATGAAGAGGATCCACGTTTGGAGTACAGTCTCTCTGTGGCAATACCAGCGAATGCAGGGAAGGCAACAGATGTACGTGCTGTAGGATTAGCGGCCTTTGAGTTGGCAGGCAAACTCGCTGGACTGGTGACAGAAGATTATGTGAAGGAGTACGGTTGTGAGGCGGCATTGTAAAAAATAAAGAAAAAGAATGAAAGAGAGAAAAAGAAAGAAAGAAAGGTAAAGAGAGAATGAGAGAAAGAGAAAGAGAAAGAGATACAAAGGAATTATTATATTTTATTGTTTGTTACCGTTTTTAATATATATATATATATATATATATATATATTTATCTATTTAAGAGTGTTGATGAGGATGGAAATAATTGGGGATAGAGTATTATCACTCTCAATGTTGGGAGGAGGCAAACAATAATAATATGTTTTCTCTCAATCTACTCATTTTGTATCTATCTCTTTCACTATTGATATTTATCTTATTTTTATTTACTCATTTGCGATGTTGGAGTAATGATTACAGAGAAGGCCCCCTTAACATCTAATGAGGGGTTTTTTTCCTTCTCCTTTCTCTTTACTTGTGCCGCATGCACTTTTGTTCCTTGTACTAAATGATATATTTATCATTTTCCGAGAAATCACACAAACCATTATTCTTTTTTTCTTTGGTATTTTGGGTTTGTTTGTTTCTTTTTCCTTGTACACCACCGTGCATTCATCTTCTTTTTTTTTTCTCTTTTTCTTTCTTTTTTTCTTTACGTTTTACTATTACTATTTCACACATCTTATATCTCTCTTTCTATCTTTCTCCCCCGTTTAGCGGGTGAGTCTGCGAACTTGTTTTTTTTTTTTTCCTTCTGTATTTTTCCTTTGTTCTTTTTTTTCGTTTTCTTCCTGTAATGTGCGTTCATATATAAACATGTAAACTAAAAAGAAAATGGAGATGTAAACTTTGTATTTCTTTCTTCTTTCTCTCTTTTCTTTTCTTTTTTCTTCTTGTGTCTGTTGTGTTTAAATGGAGTGAACTTTCAGGCTCTATTTGTAGGCTTGTGTTTATTTCTCTGTATTTAGCCTTCCTGCATCTGCAGGGATAATACACGATATAGTAAAGAGAAAAGGAAGAAAAAAAAAAGAATAAAGATTCAAAAGAGAAAGAGATAGAAAGAGATTTAGTGTAAAGTGCGAAACGAACACAAAAAAAAAAAAAAAAAGAGGAAACGAACAAAAAAAACAAAAAGAAGTTTAAATGTCACATTTATTGCCAGTGACAAGGTTAACATCATCCTCCTCAACATCTTCCTCATTGCGGGTATCATCTTTAGCCTCATGTAGACAGTCTGAGGAGAGAGATGGTTTGAGTATAGCGGTAGTGGATGTATTGTTGTTGGGAAGCCAATCGCTTTGGTTTGTTGTGAGTGCAGTGGGGCAAACAACTGGAATAGATCTCTCCAAACCTTTGCGGTATATTTCATTTCCGGAGAAGGAGTTCATGTCTGTTAATAATAATAATAATAATAATAATAATAATAATAATGAGTTTGCACTTCTTATGGAATTACAACGTGTAGGAAATGGAAAAATATTAGAAAATCATACAGAAATCAAAAGAGGGAATTGTCTTCGCTGCTCTGGAAGACGTGGTGGGATCTGCGCAGCCTCATTACTGCACATGTATGGAGATCATGTGGTGTTATTCTTTATCTTGGAATGTAATTGTGTAGTGTTTGCCTCATTTCTCCTGGTGGACACTTCTCATAGTAAGAACAGTCCTCATAATAATAATAATAATAATAATAATAATAATAATAATAATAATAATAATAATAATAGTACAGACATAAAGATTGAATTACAAGCCGTGCGATGGTGTTGTGGATCTAAAGAAGAAATCAAGACGCCTCCCACTTCTCTTAAACAATTAACAGTACCTGTAACGGCTCTTGTGGAATGTATACAGGATCGTATAGAAACCACATCCAATTCTATTACTAATTCTACTAATAATATTACTACTAATATTACTGCAGGTGTTTCCTCTACATCTCCACGAGGTAGACCGATGACAACAAGAGTTTCCACACGACGTGGATATGATGATTCTGTTTTGTTTGTTTTACGTTTAGCCTTTACACGTGTGGTGGGATGGTTGGAATATATAGAAATATCATGGCGAGAAGGAGGAAATATTCACAACAACAACAACAACAACAATACATCCCCTTGGCGATTATTACGTGGATTTCAACAATTCACATGTGGGGCATTACGATTAGAGTTAAATGGAGATTCAAGTGGATTATTAGGTGAAGTTCGAGCTCTTCATTGGATGCCGCATTCACGTGATTATCAACAACAATTTCCATTATTGGCTATTCTACATCAATATACTATTGTTTGTGGAGATCCATTTCTAGATCGTCTTTCAGTTTGTATGTTGTCTGGGCGAAGAGAGCGAATAATATTATTTAGTGAGGAAGAAGAAGTATGGGCCACTATACAAGAACGATTTCGTGGATCTTGTTTAGATGGTCCTTGGTGTTTAGATGCCTTAACACTTGCACATCCCTCCTTTCTATTACAGACAACATTACCGTATGGAAATAATTCTGTGAATGGTTTTGATGTTTTGGGTGTTTTTTTACGCCCAACGAATGTTATTTATCCTATGAGTGCCTTTTTACGTGAAAAGGGAATAACCAACAATAATAATAATATTAATAATAATAATAATAATAATAATAATACCTTTGACTTTTCCATAGAAGATGCGATACCTAAATTCATCACAGAAAAAGTAAAAGAAGAGTTTTGTTTTGCTCTCTTTACAGAGAATGGTGAAGTGAGTAGATGTTGTATTGGAGACTTTGTAGAAAAGGCGGTGTGTTGTTTAGTACCAGAACCCTCCACAAGACGTTTAAGTCGATCTCTTTTAACAGAAAAAGATATACGAATGGCGATTGTATTCATAATGTGTAGTAAAGGAGATATTCTCTTTTTGGAAGTATGGGGTTCTGCTGCAAATACGGCACTTCTACAAGGGGAGAAGAGAAGAAAAGATTCTGTAAAGATGTCTGATCTCTTTTTTACGGTAAAAGTTCGAAATGTTACTTTCTGTGATGTAGAGATCCCACGATCGTTATGTCAACTTTATCAATTTATACAATTACTATGGGATGAAACAGAAGGTGTGGTGTTTATACTTTCCACTCATGAAGAAAAAGAAAAAGAAGAAGGAAATGGAGGATTATCATTATTAAAGAATACTTTACGAATAGCAGCTTTACGTTTACAAGGAGGTGGTACAACAACATCTACAGTTCAATTTAGATGGATAGATCAAGGGAAAGATGTGAATGGAGAAGAGAGAAATTTTATTCATACATTTCCTGCACGTATGAAGGATGTATCTTCATTAATGATGCCTGTTAGTATGTTAGATGTAGAGTATAATGTGGGAACTATTCTACACACCCCATTACAAGTCTTGTGTAGTTGTACGGCTGTAATTTCTAATAATAATAATAATAATAATAATAATAATAATAATAATAATAATAATAATAATATAGATACAGGATGTGAAGTGAAATTTATGATTTCGAGATTGGGAGATATTTGTATGATTGAAGATTACTTTCCATACACAATGAATACTACTACTACTACTACTAATAATAATAATAATAATAATAATAATAATAATAATAATAATAATAATAATAATAATAATAAGAGGGAGAGGAATTTCTCATGTAGGCGTCTCTCTCGAGTGCAGTGGCCAACACAGACAAAGAATGCCTCTGTGGTATCGGCTCTCTCACTTTTATTTTCTTCCAATACTTCTAATATTTGTATGCAAGTAATCTCTACTGCCAATCATTCAATTCTCTCATCTTCACAAGAGATTCCATTTACCATGGATGATAGATCTTATCATCATCATTTAGTCTTTATGGTGGTGTGTCGTAGTACTGTGATAATACTGGCGATATCAGGGGAAGTACTCCTTGTGCAGGATCTCTGTTCTCCGTCTATACAGTTAAACAGTAATAATAATAATAATAATAATAATAATAATAATATGATAAGGACAAGGGATGAAAAAATTCCTTCACTTCTTCCTTGTATGCTTCAGTCATTTGCCTCATATAATAAAAATTGTTTCCTTGTCTTGTCCACACGTATAGGATCACTTTATTCCCGAGAGGATAAATATGAAGATTGTTTTTTCTTTCTTTTACGTTTCTCATGGTGTTTATATTCAGATGAAAAGACTGTGATATCGGGATCTCTCTCTGTAGTGGATATTCTCTCTATACACACATACGGTCAACCACTGTTTGATTTTCTACCATCTGTGGATGTTAATATCTCTCCTGCGATAATTTCTAATAGAAGAGTATTGTGTGTGCGGGAATTATTATATTGTGCTGGATGTAATCTCTGCAGTGTGCCGTGTGTTCTCACGAGTGATGGGAATAAAGAGAATCCCATCTTGGAAGGCTTCTTTGTTAAGCAAACACTTAATAATAATAATAATAATAATAATAATAATAATAATAATAATAATAATAATAATAATAATAATAATGAGGGACGAATAGTGTTAGACCTGCGAAGATTTATAGAGAAAGAGAATGAGAATGAGAAGAGTATATTATGTGTATTCGCAGAGCCCACACTGTTGCGATGTGTATCTAACACAATGTACAACTCCACAGGTGTAGATGTGGTGGTGTTAATATCATTTGCGAGTGGCCTCACATTAGTCACTGCAGTTCCTCAGAGTACGGCATCTCCACGATTCTGGCATTCTCAGATATTAACAACCACCACTACGGATGAGATGATGAGAAATAAAGAAGAAATAACAACAACAACAATAATAATAGTGGGAGATGAAAGAATGCCGTTTGTACGATTTTTAACTCCAACACAATTTGAGAAGAGAAATATGTTGGGATTTCTACAGAGTGCGAATGGCGGTTGGAGGTCACTTGTGTATAGTGATGCCATCAATACTGTGAATCTCTCACCGGATGTAAACAGTCTGCAGAATAATAACACACCGCCGTTAAGAGAAGAAAATGTGATGATTCTGTATAGTGACAATGTCTTGTTTACACTAGGACCATATCTCTCTAATTAATTAATTAATGATTTTTTTTTTTTTGTTTTTTAGTGGGATGTAAAGGTGTAAGTGCATATATATATATATATATATATATATATATATGTACAGTTCTTCTTTTTTCCTTGTTTATTTTTATATATATTTTAAAAAAAGTCGTATTTATTTTTTTTTCTCTTCTTTTATTATTTGATTTTGATACTTGGTATTTATGCATATGTTTATATTGGCACTATCGGATGGAAATGTATATGAACATTCTCTATCGCTATTATTATGATTATTATTATTATTATTATTATTATTATTATTATTATTATTTCTGTTACTACTGCGATCAGTCTCTCAACTCCATTTCTCATTTCCATTTCTTTTATTAAGAAGAAGATAAATAACTCAAGAAGTTCCACAGAAGAAGAAAAAAGAAAAAAGAAAGGAAGAAAAGAAATGACAGCACGTGAATGTGTACTGCAGGCAAAGTCTTTTTTAAGTTCAATGCCTGCGGCTTCTCTGCTCTCACGTGAGGGATTCATCACCGTATGTGTAGAGGCTTCTCTCGCCTTTTTGCGGGAACGCAGCAGTCATCATCATCATCATAGGAATAACAACAGGAGAATATTCACTAATAATAATAATAATAATAATAATAATAATAATAACAGAAGGAATCTATCCAAGAGAAGAAAGAACAGTGTAGAAGCCTTATTAACATCATCATCGCCATCATTATTGTCATCTCCCTCTTATAAACCACAACCACAACAACAAGAACAACAGGGATCAACCTTTAATGAAGAGGAATTAAAACGACTACGTGAACTTGTGGAAGTTGAATATCATCGTATACGATTAAATAATAATAATAATAATAATAGTGATAATAATAATAATAATGAAATGGAGGGCAATCCATATTCTGCCGTGCCAGCAGCCAAATTAGAGGCAGCGGCTATTATTAAACGTGTTCTTCACGGTCCATACAAACGTGGGGAGATATCACGACAGGAGTATACAGTGATTGTACTAGCCGTGTTGGAGAAGTTATTTCCAGATCTCATTGCCGTGATGAATGGAACGATTCCAAATCAAACCAGTCATCACCATCATCTCAATAATAATAATAATAATAATAATAATAATAATAATAATAATAATAATAATAATAATAATAATAATAATAATAATAATAGAAATAATACTGTTGTTGATATGAGTAGTAGGAGTGAGAATAATGATAGTGATAACAATGGTATTAATATAGTGGAGAGTAGTGGAAATATAAGAAACCATGAGGTTCATATGAGTATGCATAGATGTGATGATGATGAAAAGATAAGAATGGATTCACCAGAGAAATTACATACACAACTGCGTCCAGAAATAGCCGTACGTGCGGTAGAGTTAACAGAACAATCTCTTCATTATTACCTCAACAAAAATAATAAGAATAATAATAAGAAGAATGAACAGAATTTCTTAAATAGAGGATATAGTCAAGAAGAGAATAATCGTATGGATCAACTTATGGATGATATGAGTCCACTTCCTCGTAATCCACATGAAAGTACATCAACAACAACAACAACAACAATATCTCCAATTCCTATTAACTTTGATGATGTCTTTGAACAACAATTGGAGAAGTTAAAACAATTATTGGAGGAAAAGTATGCACTCGATCTCTCAGGAGGCCACACCTCTATGAACCCACAGAGAAAGCATACAAACACTTATAATAATAATAATAATAATAATAATAATAATAATAATAATAATAATGCAGTTAAACAGAAACGTGAAGAGTTGATTGCACAGGCGCTGTATTGTAAAGAGAGAATGGAAGAAACTCAAGAACGTCTTGGTTCTATCATGCAAGAACTTCGTGAGGTTGAACAGTCAGTGGATATCATTAGATGATGTGATTAAAAAAGAAAAAAAAAAAGAATAAAATAAATATAAATAAACGAAAAAAGGAATAGAGAATATGGATGGGTACTTTTTTCTCTTATGTGGTAGTGACAATATTATTATTATTATTTATTATTATTAATATTTATTAGGGAGTTTCTTATATTCTCTTTTTTTTATTTTTTTCAATATCGTGTACGTCTTTGAGTGATGAGTGGATTAGTAAAAGTAAATAAAGGGATAGACTCCGTCTCCTGTCAAGTATTCTGATTTAAAGAAGAAAGTCTTTTTTTTTTTTTAATATTTCAAGAGGAAATATTTATATATTTGTATTTGGGAACTGTTTAAGAAAAGAAAGAAAAGAAATAATGAGTTCCAACTATATTTTTTATTTATTTTGTATTATTTATTTATTTATTTTATTATTATTTCCTCCCTATCGTTTTAGAGCTTCTTTACAGAGAAGCAATATCGCCATGATTTCTCGTATCAGAAACCAAAAAAGAAATAAAATAATAATAATTAAAAAACAGTTCATATTATTACTTATTTTTCTTTCTTTCTTTCTTTCTTTCTTTCTCTCTGTGTGTATGTATGTGATGTTCTTTCTTCCTTTTTTCTTTTTATTTTTTATTTTCTCTCTTCTTGTAGAATTCAGAATAGAACAGAGAAAAAAAAAAAAAGAAATAACCGCAACAAAGGCCCACAAAGGGAAGAGAGAAGAGAAGAGGAACACCAACGATTTTGCAAAGGAGAAAAAAGAAGTAAAAAGACAGAAAGAAAGGGGTGAAGTTTTTGCACATTACCAACCAGAGAGAGAGAGAAAGAGAGAGAAAAAGGAAAAAAAAAAAACAGTTCATATCTCTCGAAAGAAAAAAAAATATATAAATATATTTGTATATAAATATATTTATTTATCTTTATTATTATATAAACAAAGAAAAAGAAAAAGAAAGAAAAAAGGATGTTGAAGGAGTCATCAGGAACAGGTGGAGCTGGGGATGGCAACAGCAGCAACAGCACCGCCTCCACCGGTCCGTTGCCCAGTGATGAGTTAGCACGTATTGAGTCCCTCACAGACGCACAACTACGCACACGCGCAAATATGCTCCAGCGTGAGATTCAACAAATGAAAAATGAGGAACGTGCAAAGATGGGAGAATTGCAAAGACTCAAGAAGGAACTTGAGGATGATAAGAAACGTGTGCGGGATAATAACAAGTTACCATATCTGGTAGCAAGCATAGCAGAGGTGCTGGATATGGATGATGATGACGCGGAGGCAGAAGAGTTGGATGTGGGTCGTAAAAAGTCCAAACGTAAACAGAAGAGTGCTGTTATTAAGACATCTAATCGACAAACTGTGTTTTTACCTGTTGTTGGACTTGTGGATGCAAATAAACTATCGCCGCAGGATTTGGTGGGTGTGAATAAAGATACATATCTCGTATTGGATACACTCCCACCAGAGTACGACAGTCGTGTGAAGGCGATGGAAATTGAAGAGCGACCAACAGAGAAGTACACAGATGTTGGAGGTCTTGATAAACAGATTAACGAAATGATTGAGGCTGTGGTTCTCCCCATTACAGAGAAGGAGAAGTATGAACGTATTGGTATTAAACCACCGAAGGGTGTATTATTGTATGGTTCTCCCGGTACTGGAAAGACAATGCTCGCCCGTGCCTGTGCGGCCGCTACGAATGCCTGTTTTCTTCGTCTTGCCGGTCCGCAGTTGGTGCAGATGTACATTGGAGAAGGAGCCCGTATTCTCCGGGATGCCTTTGCCCTTGCGAAGAAGAAGGCCCCAACGATTATCTTCATTGATGAACTCGACGCCGTGGGGTCTCGCCGCTCGGATGCCGGCGGTAAACACGGCTCACGTGAGGTGCAGCGCACCATGTTGGAGTTACTCTCCCAACTGGATGGTTTTGGCAGCAACGATGATGTAAAAGTAATTGCGGCAACCAATCGTATTGATGTATTGGATCCAGCTCTCCTGCGTAGTGGTCGTCTCGATCGAAAGGTGGAGTTTACACTGCCAGATGAGGAGGCGCGGGCCCGCATTCTGGAGATTCACTCCAGACGCATGGCTCGACATGCGGATGTGAACTTTGAGGAGATTGCGAGAATGACGGAGGACATGAATGGAGCGCAACTGAAGGCCGTTTGTGTGGAGGCGGGAATGTTGGCGCTGCGCAATGACCGGGCGTATGTGTTGCATGAGGACTTTGCAGAGGGAGTGACGGCAGTGCTATCACGAAAGAAATCCAGTCTCAACTACTATGCGTAAGAGAGAGAA